AAAAACAGGTCATTAAGGACGAATAAAAATATAAATATGTATCAAAAATATCGTAAAAAACAGCTTATTAAGGACGAATAAAGATAAAAATATATATCAAAAATATCATAGAAAAACAGGTCATTAAGGACGAATAAAGATATAAATATGTATCCAAAAATAGGAGGTGAAGATTATGACCTTACAAGAAACTGTAAGTACCTGAAGGTTGATTTTTTTAAAGTTTTGGTATCACTAGGAACGAAATAGTACCACTTGAAAGATTTTTATTCGGTCACTAAATAGATAGAGACGTTTGGTTATGTGAATTAACTATGTGTGTCTTCATTGCTTGAAGACAGAGCTTTCGTCTCTTTTAATCTGGTAAAGATAACATCGTATCAAGGTCTTCTAAGAATAATAATAATAAAAACATTGTTTTTAAATCTCACACCAACCTTAAAGCAGCTCTCTCGCACGCTTGGGTCGTGTCAAAAAAGGGAAAGGTGTTTATCATGGATTCCTCCTTGGTGACATTATCATGTTCTCGTCTTGTTGTCTGAGGAACGTTACCACCACGGGTATGTGTACGACGAACCAGGAACCCACCAGCTGTAGAATTAGATATTACATTTAAGTTTGAAATGTAATAAAAATCTTACACTAAAAATTTTTTTTTAAATTCACAGTATGTTGTATATTGCTCTTGGATGCTTTTAATTCCTGTTTCCGACGTTTTATATATATATTTTTACTTTTTATACAGAACTTATGGTCACTAAAATTACACTTTACAATAAAATAAGTTGAAAAGCAATACATGATCTTCGACCAGATTAACACAAAGTTACACCGTAGTACATAACAACTTAAAGAGCTGTAAATGAAAAAAAAATATCTAGAAATACAACCGCTTTCGAATAGTTCATTCTTCTTCTTCAGAAGTGAAGAAGAATAGCTAAATATTTGAAAGCTCTAGAGTTTCTGAGTCTTTTAAAATCTATCTGTCAGAATTCTTTTATTACTTCTTTCATCAGAGTTGAAGAGTTGTTGATGAAGGACGATAACTCGAAGTAAAAAACATTTTCGTCAACAATACTGTAGAATATATTTTATATCGAATGTTTTGGCTGAAACGGTTTTCGCCGACTGTTTTTTGAGATTTTATATAAAGCTTCATATATATATATATATTTGTACACATGTTTACACTAAGTCTTAGTTTTAGTTGTTAAAGACTAAATAAAAATTGTATTTCTGAAAATAATCATACCGTACCAAAATGTCATCATTGTTTGGAAGTGTGGTAACGTTTTATGTGTTACTTTGAAGTGTAGTAACGTTTCGTTTGTTGTTTTGAAGCGTTATAACGCTCCATTGTTGTTTTAAAGTTTATCAATGATTTATGTGATGTTTTGAAGTTTAGTAATGCCTCGTGTGCTGTTTTGAAGTGTTGTAACGTTCTTTGAGTTTCTTTGAAGTTGTAGTAACGATTCATATCGTGTTTTGAAATGTGGTAACGCTTCATGTGTTGTTTAAGTGTGGTGACGTATCATGTGTTGTTTTGAAGTGTAGCAACGTTTATGTGTTATTTTTGAAGTGTAGTAACGCTTCATATCGTGTTTTGAAGTGCAGTAACGTTTCATATCGTGTTTTGAAGTGTGGTAACGATTCATGTGTTGTTTAGGTGTGATGAAGTATCATGTGTTGTCTTGAAGTGTAGCAACGTTTCATGTGTTATTTTGAAGTGTAGTAACGTTTCATATCGTGTCTTGAAGTGTGGTAACGATTCATGTGGTGTTTGGAAGTGTAATAACGTTTCATGTGTTGTCTTGAAGTGTAGCAACGTTTCATGTGTTATTTTGAAATGTAGCAACGTTTCATGTGCTATTTTGAAGTGTGGTAACGATTCATGTGTTGTTTGGAAGTGTAATAACGTTTCATGTGTTATTTGAAGTGTAGTAACGCTTCATATCGTGGTTTGAAGTGTTGTAACGATTCATGTGTTGTTTAAGTGTGATGACTTATCTAGGTGTTATAATAACAGAAGTTTTATTGTAATGCTTCCGTCTTAGTTCTGTTAGTTTCGTGTATTGTAGACCCACTAAAAAGAGAGAGAGAGTAAAAGCAATTCGTAAGTACTTGTAGCCTTACATAATTCAACAATACCGAGAATTGGGAATGGACAAAATATGGATATTGTAGACGCAATACAAAAACAAACCATCAGTATTTGTAGCCCTGCCACATTAAAAAATTCAACAATACCAAGGTATTTGGTAATGGACAACATATTTGTAGCCCTGCCACATTAAAAAATTCAACAATACCAAGGTATGTGGTAATGGACAACATATTTGTAGCCCTGCCACATTAAAAAATTCAACAATACCAACGTATTTGGTAATGGACAACATATTTGTAGCCCTGCCACATTTAGCATTTTTCAGATATTTTATAATATGTAAAAATTAAATCCTTAAAATTCTGCTGATTCAAATAGTTCCCCTCCCAGTGGCACAGTGGTATGTCTGCGGACTTACAACGCAAGAAACCAGGTTTCAATACCTGTAGTGGGCAGAGTACAGATAGCCCATTGTGTAGCTTTGTGCTTCATTACAAATAATCAAATAGGTTTGTGTTTAAGTGACTGCTAACAGTTTTTATTATCATCATTATTGCTATAGGTCACTAAAAATTCACATAACAGTCCTATTTTGTTGGATACACATATGAAAACTCTTGTACGAGACACATTAATCAGAAGAAATCCTATCCTGGTTTTCAGCGTCCGCTATTATTTTTATCACGTATTTATGATAAAGAGATTTCAAATAACTGCCGGAGCAGAAGTAGAGTTTATTAAAGTATCCGGATTGAAACGGAATCTTTATGTTTCATTTAATGAGTTCAATAGTCTTTTTTTATCATTAGTTCGGCCGTAAATTCTATCAATTGTCTAAAGAGTAAATGTCTTATAACTATAACTACAAATATTGTTCTTCGAAAGGGCAATTTGATTTTGTTAGTTTTCGTTTAGCATCGAAGCTAAAGGCTAATTGGTATACCATTTACAAATAGATGTTTTTTTTTATTATGATAACGTCACGCCACGTTAGTCAGAAGTAACAACGAACATTTTATCGCAAAACATCAGTATTTATTTTGTTATGTGTTTCCAATACTTCTACAAGGAAACATTATAAGAAACCAAGTCCGCAGAGATTTGATACTTTCTGATTAGTTATGAACTTAATAAAAAAAGACAACTATGTCCGAACTGTTTTATTTTGGTGAAGTGTCAACGTTTGGTACAATGATCTGTTGTTTTTTGTAACAGAAATTTTTGTCACTTATAGTATGTTTACTATACCAAATATGTTGTCCATTACCAAATACCTTGGTATTGTTGATTTTTTTAATGTGGCAGGACTACAACTATGTTGTCCATTACCAAATACGTTGGTATTGTTGAATTTTTTTCTTTAGTTCTTTCATCGTAAAAAACTCTAACTTACAATGCTACGATGAAAGAACTAAAGATAAATAACTCTAACTTAGAGGAAAAAGAAACTCTTCATCATCTTATGTCATGCTTTTTTTTACAGAAGTTCGCGAAAAGTGACACTTACTTACCTTGTGACTGTGATGCATCAATTTCGGGTTTTTTTTCGTCATCTTTCTTTCCTTGTGTTCCAGGTGGGTTTGCCACTGTAAGAAAATCGTAAGATTGGATCTAAATTCTTCTTGACAAATGAAAAGAGATATGATATGACCTCAAGAATAAAATAGTTTTGGTACAACTAATGAAACCAGAAGTCGGATTTGTTTTGAATTATGAACATAGTGACCGAACACTGTCAGTTACGTATATGTTGTTTTGAAATGTTTTCTACTCACACAGTAATCCTATGTTTGTAAAGGGATTTCGAAAATATGTAGAATTGATGCTATTAATCTATTCTAGTAAATTATTATTTGTTTGTTTGTAATTAAGCACAAAGCTACGCAATGGGCTATCTGTGCTCTGCCCACCACGGGTATCGAAACATGGATTCTAGCGTTGTAAGTCCGCAGACATACCGCTGTGAAACTGGGGGGCAAATTATTATTTAATCTGACAAATTGTTTAATATTATTATTTAACCTGACAAACTGTTTAATATTATTATTTAACCTGACAAACTGTTTAATATTGTTATTTAACGTGACAAACTGTTTAGAATTATTATTTAATCTGACAAACTGTTTAATATTATTATTTAACCTGACAAACTGTTTAAAATCATTATTTAACCTGAGAAACTGTTTAAAATAATTATTTAACCTAACAAACTGTTTAATATTGTTATTTAACCTGACAAACTGTTTAAAATCATTATTTAACCTAAGAAACTGTTTAAAATTATTATTTAACCTAACAAACTGTTTAAAATCATTATTTAACCTGAAAAACTGTTAAAATTATTATTTAACCTGACAAACTGTTTAATATTATCATTTAACCTTACAAACTGTTTAAAATTATCATATAACCTGACAAACTGTTTAATATTATTATTTAACCTGACAAACTGTTTAATATTATCATTTAACCTGACAAACTGTTTAATATTATCATTTAACCTGACAAACTGTTTAATATTATTATTTAACCTGACAAACTGTTTAAAATTATTATTTAACCTGACAAACTGCTTAATATTATTATTTAACCTGACAAACTGCTTAATATTATTATTTAACCTGACAAACTGCTTAATATTATTATTTAACCTGACAAACTGTTTAAAAAGCTAAAAAGTCAACGTGAAACATAATTTATCATTCTATTTAACACTTGTCACTGAGTTGTACCGGTTTTGGGGAATTTCACCCCTCTTCAGTAACCCTGGACAAGGGCAAATCGAAAGAATAAGACTAAGCTTGTCCAGGGTTACTGATGGAGGGGTGGAATTCCCCGAAACCGTTATTACTCAGTGACAAGTGTGAAATGAAATGATAGATTAGGCTTCACAATATTCATGTATATGTTTTAATTAAAGTATATGCATATCAAGTGAACCATTATTAGTTATTCATGTGTTACTTTCAAATCTACTCTAATTAATTAGTTTTGACACTTCGATTGAACGGCGCCCAAATAATGAGCGTTTATAGAAAAGTTCGTGCTACTAGAATTAAGGAATTCATCAGGAGTAGATATGTTTCCTGCGGTCAGTTTTTACTACAACAAAAATATCCAATGTGTTCATCAAATTAAAATTTGTGCTACAGAATTAGCATTAATTTGCTTTCAATTTATTTCGTGGATATAGTTTAAGGTCTGTTTTAGCCGAAGATGCAACTATATATAATGTTTTTTTTTATAATAAATAAAAAGAAGAAGGTCTCGTTTTTGTTTTTTTTATGTCCACTGCCGAGATCGAACTTAAGTTTAAATTGACTGGTATGATGGAAGGTCTTAGAAGATTATAATGGATTTTCAGAAAGCATTTGACAAGATGCCAAATAAAAGGCTTGTAAAAATTGTCTCTTTCTAGATTTGGGGGATAAGTTAGCAAACTGTATAGAAGAGTGGCTGTTACAAATGGAGTCCAGTAAAACTGGATTAATGTCATAAGTTGGGTACCTCAGGGCTCAATTTTAGGACTTTTACTCTTTTATGATTTACATCAATGACATAGATGAAAGATGGCCAATAAATTACTTAAATTTGCTGATGATATTAAAGTCTTGGGTGTTGCTAGCTGTGAGGAAGATGCTGCTGATTTACAAAAGGATTTAGATCATTTAGTGAGTTGGGTATATAAATAGCAGATGGGTTTTAATTATAATAAATGCAAGATAATGCATGTTGGTTACCATAACTTGAATTATAAGTATAATTTGGATGGGAATAACCTTAACAGTGTCATAAATGAAAGGAATCCTGGTGTAATACACGATCAGTCTCTAAAGCCATCCAAGCAATGTATTGCTGCTAGTGGTAGGATAAATAGGATTTTAGGTTGTATCTACAGAAATATTGAATACAAATCTAAAGAGGTTATACTTTCATTGTACAGGTCACTGGTTAGGCCACATTTGGAGTATTGTATCCAGTCTTTGGCTCCTTACCTTCGGAAGAACATTGAATTGTTGGAAAGAGTTCAGAGGAGGGTTACTAGAATGGTTCCTGGGATGGAGGGGTTGTCATACGAGAAAAGGTTAAGTTGTTTTCTCTTGAAAAAAAAAGAGTTAGAGGGGTTCTGATTAAGGTGTTTAAGATTGTAAAGGGAATTGATAGTGTTGATGTATCATTTTTTTCATGCATAACAGTGAGAATAGTAGGACTAGGGGACACAAGTAAAATACATTTTGGCAGGGTAGGAGTCAAATTTAGCTAAGACAGTTTTATTTTTCTTACAAGGTGGTTAGCATTTGGAATGGGTTGCCTTCAGATGTTGTAGAGACAGTAAACGTAAGTGAGGTTAAGAGAAAGTTTAATAAGTATATGAATGATAAGGACTGGCTTTAAGATTTTTTTAAAGTTTATTTATTAATAATTTTAGTTTAGTTTAGAGGACGGGACAGCCGAGTTGGACCAATAGATCCCATGTTGTCCCAAAACATTAATGTTATGTTTTTAATTTATGAAATACTGTGTATTTTATATAAACAATGAGTTATTTCTAGTAATATCAAATTTAAAATAACTTTTACGGAGGAGATTATTAGTCTGTGATAAAAGGATTTTTGACACACCACGAGAAAGAATACATTTCATACTGTTCGTTTTGTTGCAGAACATCAAGATATAGGATGGGCTATCTGTGCCTAGCCCACTGCGGGTATCGAAACCAGATTTTTAACGTTGCAAGCCCACTGACTTATCGCTGAGCCACCGGGGGCCTATTTCTTACTGAAAATAATACTTTACGGAAACTTCGTCACGACTATATTTAAACCTAAGTTCAAGTTCGATAAAAAAAAAATTCAAATCTTGCGATGTCCTTAACAATTCCTGTTTTCTTTTAACCATCTACTCAGCGGTAAACATGGGGACATATCACAGATAGCCCACTGTGTAGCTCGTGCTTGCAAGCTTCCGAACCGCTCTAAGTTAGTCTCTAATTGTTTACCAATCTTCATCTTGTTGATTCGATACACTTTCTGCTTTCAGTCTAGATCATTAAATGAAGATGGATTGTTGTGTTTCTTTCTTCTTTACTCTTCTTCCTGTCTTTGTGAATCAAGGGGTAGAAAAATCGATGTAACAAGAAACCTCTTACTTAGCAGACGTTCGTGCCTTATTGATATCGCAGATGTCAAAAAATCAGGGTAAACCTAATTACTTACTAGTGGTCTTCTCGCAAAGATCATTTGAAGAGAGATAGATGTCTCGAAACTAATGTTTTCTAGAATTAAAACAAATCACTACACATTTTTTGTTAACGCACTGTTGCAGTTAGTGTGGGGAAATTAAGAGCACTAAGAACGTAATTTATTTTTTTATTTAAAAAGAAGAAAAACGAAACTGAAACCGTGGAGTAAATGACAAGAAACTTGGTTTTAAAAACTTTTGTCGGTTCAAGCCCTGTTAATCTCAGTGTATTTGAGCGACAGTTGTTGTTGTGTGTTATAAAGCACAACGCTACACAAAGGGCCATCTGTGCTCTGCTTACCACGGGTATTGAAACCCGGTTTCTAGCAATATAAGTCCGCAGACAATATGAGCAACAGTAACTATCTCTGTGACTTTATATAAAGCCCTGGTGACTCAGCTATAAGCTTGAGGAACTATAACGCTAAAATTCGGGATTCGATTCATGCACTAGTCAGAATGCACATAATTCATTGTGCAGCTTTGTTTTTTTTGTTTTTTAAAAAAACATTTTCTGTATAAGATTGTTTATCAGTTCCCCCGCCACGAGTATCGAAACCCGCTTTTATTGGTGTGAGCCCCTCAGGCTTATCGCCGAGCCATTGAGGAGATAATATACAAGAAATAATAACAATAGAAATGAATATATGTGTGTGTTTTCTTATAACAAAGTCACATCGGGCTATCTGCTGCGTCTACCGAGGAGAATCGAACCCCTGATTGTCGCATTGTAAATCCGAAGACTTACCGCTGTTCCACCGGGGGACTAATAGAAGTGAAACGTTTAAAACTAGGAGTAATCGAAACGGTTTGAAAGACTTACGTAAAAACAAAACCATCTGCTTTCATCTCTATTAAGCGTTTCTAACGAACATTTGCTCCCAATCAGCTCAAAAACTGTTTAGTTTAATCACTTTTTTGTGCATCGCTTCGTATCGAACAAATTGAATTGAAGGAAGACCACGTGACTTTAATTACAGTTCCAAATTTGAGGTAGATAGCTAATCAAATAATACAAACTCTTTCGATAAATCGATACGGACGGTGATACATTTCCAGTTCGAGGCTCCAATTTAGTATTTTGGAGGAGGAACGGCTCGAACCAAAACACATTCTTTAACCGAATAAGATACAATTTTAAGCTGTTTATGATTTGACTGAAGAAGATACAGTCTTAAGCTGTTTATGATTTGACTGAAGAAGATACAGTCTTAAGCTGTTTATGATTTGACTGAAGAAGATACAGTCTTAAGCTGTTTATGATTTGACTGAAACACAGATATCTCAGAGTGCAGCTTTGAGACAAAACAATTATTTACCGGTAGTTAACAAGCTATTAATAACGACTTT